CTGGGATGCTATGTGAATACTCTATCGAGTGTATGATACACGAATACGATAGCCAGAAAAACACGAAAAAAGAACCAAACTTGACCGATGGCCACATAGGGGAGGGCGCGTTGCTGCCTAGGGTGCTGAGTTCACGTCAGTGGGTGGAATAACTTGGAAGGGGGCATCAATAGTGGTTGCACAGCACTGAGTTACACAGGCAGAAGTTGCGGACCTGGAGAATGTTCTGGTGTGTGTATTTTGCCACCATTAGAAAAGAACTACATGAGTAACAATGACGACAAGAAAGAAGGTTAAAATCGGACTTGGTGACAAGTGCAGAGCTCTTCTTCATATGGATGAAGTGTTCATTGCAGGACAAGTGGATGAGATGGTCTAATAAAAACAAACTAGTTCATCTCGGGGGCTCTGGGGCAGTTCCACCCTGTCCTCGGAGGCTGACTCAGCACCGCCTTGATGGCACCAATCTGGTCTGGTTTGGGTCTCGTGTCCTTGGTGAGTTGAACGTAATGCTTTGCTACCTGATTCTGTACTGATAGAGCTTATCAACCAGAGTGCCTGCAAAGCATGACCCTCCGTGCACTCTTCCTGTGTTCCTCGTCTGACAGGGCACTGTGGATGCTCACAGGGGAGTGAGTGGGTGGGTGGAACACTACCACGTCGCACACAGTGGTCAGCCCGCACACCATGGGGCACGGAGCAGCAGTGTGAGGTGGCCATGCATGGTGCCGCCTCTGTGTCTCTGGGGTAACAATGCAACTCCTCCATTACAGCTGAACAGCCCACATCCACAGACCACATTAAGCCTCAAAATAAGTTCTGAATGAAATTAAGAGAGGAAAATCCGCAATGAAAAAAAAACGAAGCATTTGTCAACAGCTCTTGGATTTGTTAAAAAAACAAAAAACACCGTACTGAGGGTTCTGTCTGGTTCTCCCAGGGCCCCGCCTCGGGTCCCAGCAGTGCTGGCGGCAGCCAGGCTCTGTGCTCGAGGTCCAGCAAGCGCCCTCCCGACAGCCAAGATGCCCCAGGGGCGGTCAGCTCAGCTGAAGGGGCTGTGAGGAGGAGCCCAGGGCAGTTGCCGAGGCTGTCAGTGAAGCATGTGCCTGCAAAAGTGGAGAAGCAGCCAAAAAAGGCAACAGGAGAGGACCAAACTTCAGACAAGAGTGCCAGGAAAGGGAAACGGGCTGAAGTAGCTCACCGGGAACTGAAGACTCCCTGCCAAAATCGGAGCAGCGAGAGGAGGAGCGTGCAGCCCCGAGGAAGCAGGAGGAAAGGACCGAGCCTGGGCCGTGTCTACCCTGTCTTATCAGGGGCCTGTTAGCTCCCTTCTCGGACAATCCAAAGGGGTCGCTTATCAACTACTTTATAAATCCAAGCTTTTTAGTAGCTCTAGAAACATTTTTAAGGAGGAGGAAATCCCACTTCCTTCTGTTTTTCTAAGTGTAACTGCTTTTTTATTAAGATGCAAAATCATCTACTGGCTGTTTATTTTTTGATACAAGCAGAAAATAGTGGGCTGTTGAATTGTGGGAAGATTTGACGGTCTTGGGTGTCTACGTAACATTCCATGGGATGGGGAAGTTTTTGAGTCCCTAAGACAAAACATACTTAGAGGCCATTTGGAATCACTGCCACGCATTTGTATGACTCAAACATTTAAAATTTTGTTTCCGTGTTTTGTTGTTTAATAGAGGAGGAGGGTAGGAAGGAAGGGAGGGAAAAGAGGAGCTGATACCAAGGGCTCAAGTAAAAAGAAAATGTTCTGAAAATGATGATGGCAAAACATGTACAAATGTGCTTGACACATAGATGTATGGATTGTTGTAAGAGCCCCAATAATATGATTTATTTAAACAATTGATACGAGTTGTGTCTGAAAGACCCTCCGCCATCACGGCTTCCTTGTGGGCACTGTGTGCGTTCCGTAACGCCTCCAGCCGTGGTGGTCCAGGCTTCCTGATAACCTGTCCTGTGCTGTGAGGGGTGGATGTGTGTGCGCTTGTAGTGTGTGCGCGAGCCAGGCCCACAGAGCAGTTCACTACACCCAGCTCTCCTCTCCTCACACGAAACCCCAGGAGAAGCTTCCGCAGCATCTTGGTGAAACATGGGGTTGAAATGACTGTGGTTTCTGACAGGCGAGCTACTCGGGCGTTCCCAGAGGTGGAGGTCAACAGACCGAGGGACACAGAGCCGGCCGCCATCTGGCTTCTTCTGCGCTGCCTCTGAGGATCCAGCAAGATGGTGGGGCAAAATGGAAAGGTCGAGACAGCTGGGACAATGGACTACACCGCCCCACCGGACTGTCTCAGAACGCTGTGGGGCCAGAGGACAGCTGGACTGTCTCCGCCCACCAGCAGTCACCAGTGGAGAGAGAAAGGCAGTCATCGCGTGCGGATCGGCAACACCAACAAGCAGAGCCGCCAACAACGGGAGCAAGAAAAAGACAAGCTGCCAGAGAAGCGTGCAGCCCGAGCTCAGGATGGAAATGGCTGACAACAGAGATGTGCCCTCTCAGAGGCCCACCGGGCTCCCTCTCAGGGCCAGGCTTCAGGACTCCCAGCCTACTGCAAACTGGACCGAGGTGGTTTCCAAAGCTCCTCTGAGAAAGCCTGCCGGACCGGGACGAGAACATGGGCAGGAAACCACAGGGGTAAACTTGCCCTCCTCCCCAGGCCCGAGGCCAGGCTGCTCCTCAGGCCGCTGTCCTCAGAACCCAAATCCACGCGTGGCCCCAGCCGTGACTGCCCTGGGGACAAGCGTGCAAGTCCACCTGTCGGGGAGGAAGCCTAGAAGGCAGGCGGGTCGGCGGGCGGGCTGGCAGGCAGTAGGCAGGCCTGGCACGGACTTGGGAAAGCTCTAAGGCGTGCAGTTACCCTCAGAAGCCACACGGTGGCAACTGGCTTTCAGTTTCCTGTTGACTGTCCCCCTGCACCCTCAGGCAGGATTGGGGGGGGGGCAGGCATAGAATACGGGCTGGAATGGACGGAAGCATGAACTGCTTGAAGCCACAGCTCATCAGGATACTTTCAAAACAGCAAGAAAGAGGACAGGCCCACTGGTGACCTCTGGATGGATACGAGGACCTGGCCACCATGCCCACAGCACAAGCGCCACCGAGAATGCCAGCGTGGCAGCAGCTCTGCGCCAAGCACACGTGCAACGCCGCCCGAGGAGCCCGCACTGTGTCCTCCACTGGTGCTCACACTCCCCTGGCCGTCTCCTTCCCACACGGACCCACAGAAAGCCCAGCTGACCTCTCAGAACCAGGACCCCGAGCCCCCACAGGCCCTGCGCTCCTGGTGCCTGCACCACTGCGCAGGCCCGACTCAAGCGTGAGGGCCCCAGGTGTGAGCGTTCACATCCTGAGCACCATGCTCTGTGCACTTGTGTGCACACAGAAAATTCAGATAATGCTTCAAGTTTACCTTTGAAACCATCGGTGAACACAAGGTGGCCCCTCCCAAACCCCTCCCACCCCCCACCCCGACACCTCTTCCCTCCCAGGGCCCTGAAGGCGGCTTACCGGGCTGGCATCATAGGTCTTGCGGGCGAGGTCATCTAGGCTCTGGTTCTGCAGCTTCTCAGTGATGAGCGTGACCATGGTCGGCGGCCCTGGGTCCTCTGTCTGCACTGTCCAGCATCAGGGTTCCTGGACATTGGATCTCACGAGGCCCGGGCCATTGCTGGGTCTGAGCTATCGACCCTCCATCCCTGGGACCTTCGGGGCCTTGTGTCTGAGGGGGGGAAGGAAAACAGCCCGATGAGACACACGCACACCAGTCCCCCGGTGTCAAACTCGGGCATCACACACAGCAAGTCTCTCCAGCCCGGTGGCCCGACAGGCCCTTGGAGACACACTGGCCACCTTACCCTGACCGTCTTCTGTCAAACCAGGCCTACTGCCCTCGAGTGAATTCTGACGCGTAGCGACCCGACCACGCACACAGGACTGCACCACAGTGTTCCCAAGGCTGTCCTACCTTCCGGGAGCAGCCGGCCTCATCTTTCTCCTGACAGCAGCTGGCGGCCTTAAACCACTGACCTTGTGGGGAGTAGCCCGGCATGTAAACCACTAAGCCAGCCACCAGGGCTCCACAGCAGGCGTCTTTCCAGAAAGGTCACACTCCCAATAGGAATGACCCAGCCCTCCGCGGTCCCCCTGCAGCATCAGGAAAGGCCATGCCCACCCCTGCTCCAAAAGGGACAGGGACCCACCAGGCCAAGATGACAGGAGAGGAGACCCAGCCACAGGACTTGGGGGCCTGGGAAGGGCTGGAGAAGAGACAAACAGCCTGACTCCCAACGTGGCAACCTTGGACCTCCTGCTGGAAAAGTCTGTTTGAAGCAGTTATACCCTGCCCCTCCCCCACTGGACCAGAGCCCTGCCCCCAACCCAACTGAAGCCCATCTCCAGGGGTCCAAAGGTCCAAGTCCAAGGCCCAGTGTAATGGTCAGACCAGGTGAAGCAGGGCAGGGATGCTCTCCGGCCCCCCCTGTCCAGCCCCGGGAGGGTACAGTAAAGACCCCAAGGCAAGACAGAGAGAACATCGGAGTCAGTCTCCCCACCCCCCTCTCCCCCGCCGGCCTCCCAGTTAGCAGTGCAAAACTCAGGTGCCACCAGACTCCAAGATACACAAACAGCTCTTCACGGTCAGCCACAAGGAAACAAACTGCCCAGGAACAAAAGGGAGGACGGGAGGTCTGCGCAGACGCTGCACCCAAGAGGTGCAGCTGGCCTGTGGCCCAGGGGAAGCTGCCCAGCGCCCCATCGGCTTCCTTGTTGTTGGGGCCGAGTGCCCTCAGTCAGTTCCCACTCCATCGATGCCATGTGACACGTGACAAGGCAGGACTGCCTGCCTCCCCCCTTGCCCCAGAGGGGGTGGCGAGCAGCCCATCCTAAATCACATCTCATTACGGCGTTACAATGGGAAAAAATGAGATACAACTCCCACTTGTACAAACTGGGCTAAAATCCCAAACCTGGCCATCTCCAAACGCTGGCAAGGGGGACTCCAGTTCTCTGCCAGGGCCAACAAGAAGGCTCCCACCCACGGGTGTAACAGACTCGGGGTGACCCCACAAATAGCAGAAGGAAACTCTGCCCGGTCCTGTGTCACCACCATAGCACCGCAGCATGTTTGAGCCTGTGGCAGTGCACCTCCTCAAGGGTCCCCCTCTCTCTCTTGCTGCCCCTCCACTTCAGCAAGCATCATGGCCCTCTCCAGGGACTGGTCTCTCCTGACAACGTGTCCAAAGGGCGTGCGAAGTCTCCACCATCCCCCCCTCTAAGGAGCACTCTGGCCCTACTTCTTCCAAGACCGGCCAGTTTGTCCTCTGTCAGTCCAGGGCACTTCCAGCGTTCCTCTCCAGCACCACAGCTCAATGGACCCTTCTTCGATCATCTTCCTTACTCAGCGTCCAGCCTTCATCTGCGTTTGAGGTGACGGAAAATGCCATCGCCTGGTCGGTGCACCTTAGCCCTCGATGTCCTGTCCTTGTCCATCAACACTTTGAAGGTCTTGTGCGGCAGATGGGCCCAAGGGAGTGCTGGCCACAGAAAGATGTGGAGGAACCTCAAATCCAGGTCAAGAAGTCGGTCTGGAAAGGCTGGACACACGATGGGGGCAACCTGACATTCTGGAAATGGCAGAACTACAGACAGGGAAACGATCAGAGGTCGCCAGGGGGCCGGGGAGAGGCACAGGTGGAGTAGCAACCGGGCATTCTAAGGGTGGTGAGATGATTCTGTCAGTGTAAAGATGGCGTGGTGGGTGAGGTGTACCTGCCTCCTCTACCTGCACTGGAGGGAGGAGGAGGTTCATTATTAGCACTCACAGACCAGGCCGAGCTCAGACGTGCAGCCACCATCTGACCTTCTTTACCAACCCTGCCACCAGGGGCCTCCTCCCAGCATCCTCCTGCATTGGGGCAGGGGGGCGGGGGGCTGAAGGACTCACTGCGATGGCCACTAGACGCACAGAAAAGACGTAGGAGTCCAGGGTTTATTGGGGAAGGAACAGGTTACCACTCGGTTCAGGATGCTCAGGATACAGCTCTTTGATCGGGACAGCCTCTTGTTGGCCATGCCCACAGGCAGCGCTCTCTGGCCGTTGGCCCCTTGCTCCAAAACAACCGAGTGGTCACAATCTTGTGAGCCAGGTTCACCAGACTGGAGCTTACATTGCCACTGGGTGACCGGTGGCTTGCTGGAAACTACGTCGCTGGTATTTCAAATGCCAGCAGGGTCACCCACCTACGTGCCAGGTTCCAGCGGGGCTTCCCGACTGAGGGCAGACAAGGGAGGATTCAGCTCCCCACTTGAGAGCACTCACCTGCTGAAAACCCTCTGGGTGGCATCAGCACACTGCCCTGAAGCCCTCGTTGGCACAGAGCATTGTGTGCATCCTGGAGGGTTAAAGAGCTCTTGCAACTCTTCAAGGAGAGCCCAGGGTCACCCCTCTGGCTCTGTGGCTCAGCAAATCCAACTCCACCAAGTGCCCAGAGGCCCCCTCGCAGCAGAGCCCGCTGCTGCCCGGAGTACTCAGTACTGGCAGTCAGCAGGCAGGAAGCCCCAGCTGGGCCTCATGCTGGTCTCCTGGTGGTGGTGCTGCTGCTGCGATGTTGCCCACATCTCTCTCTCTCCAGTACTGCAGCCCGCACCCCAGCTCACCCCTGTGAGCATTCCCTCGCTCTCTCTGTCAGGGGGTACACTCCACCTCCAGATCTTCTTTCTGGGGGCTAGTCAGAGCCCCTCACTCTAAGTCCTGCAGATGGTGAAGCTGGCCACACCCCTCGTCGAGAGTTCCATAGATCTCCTGTCATCTGGTGAGAGTGGCAAAGGTTACGACTGTAGGAACCATAGCAAGTAATTCGCGCTGCCGTGGTAGACATGTGACAGGGACCATCTGTCAGCGCCTTTTGGTCTGTGTGTACCCCAATACAGACCATGGACGCTCATGGATAAAAACGTCTATCTGGGTTCATCCCCTGTAACAATGCCAGGAAGAAGGCCAGAGGCCGGGTCAAGGCAGAGGACGCTGGTTGGGGCTGATGGAACTGGTGGCACTTTCTGTTCTCCCAAGTTTCCGTGAGCCTAAAACGACGCTCAGTGAAAGCCTGTCAGTTAAAAGTACATATTTATACAAGGGAGCTTGTAGAAAAAGTGCACAGAAAAACAGAATTAAGAGATAATGGAGTTTCTCTACGAACTTTTTGAAGCCTACTTGTATATAGCACTGACTGAGTCTCCAACAAACACTTCCTCAGTGTAATTTCAAGGAGCTCCAGTGGCCCTGTGGGATAAGCATTGGGCTGCTAACCGTGAGGTTGGCGGTTCTAGGCCACCAGCTCCTCCTTGGGAGAAAGGTGAGGCTGTGTGCTCCTGTAGAGATGTACAGTCTCAGAAACCCCGGCTAGGGTCACTCTGGGTCAGAATGGCCTCCATGGCAGTGAGCAGGGTAACTCTAAAATGTGCAGTCCAAAAGCAAGCATCTTACCAACGGCGGCAGCAACAGAGCGTCCATCCAGCAAACGACGGGAGCATGGCAGGGATGCGCCCCCCCTCCCCCCCAGCACGATAATCAAAGCCTGTACTGCAGCGCCAGACAAAGCGATCAGGAAAGAACAAAAGGACCGAAGGGCAATGCGCGCAGGAAAGACCCGGCGCGCCGAGGAGCCGTGCCGTGTGCCAGGGCAGGAAAGCGGGGCCCTCAGACCTGAGCTCGTCCGC